AAAAAAAAAAAAAAAAACAGAAAAAAAATTAAATAATCGAACGGCAACGCAATATCGATCGCCGAAACACTTCCATAGCCCCACACGGCAAGTGAATTCCCTCGATAAAGTGCAGTAGCAAGAAACAAACTTAAAAAAGAGAGAGCACAACTCGCTACACACCCACAAATCGCATTCGGCAAATCATTAAATCTCCGACTGTGAGGCCATTACCAACGCCATCTGCCACATGACCTGTCAGTCATGTTCTTTGGCCTTTCATTTCCGTACGCCAACAAATGAAGCAGCAAATCACTCTGTGCTACATTCGAGAGCGCGCTCTACAGAGAATAAACTTTTTTAATGGAAGCTGCTAGAACTGGCTACTAAATCAGGGAATACCGGTATGCCAACCCAAAGCGGTGAGGGAAGACAGAGGGACACGTGTGTCAACTGTCGATGCAATGTAAGTGAGGGGAGCGTGGCATGTACATGGCTTCATTGCAATAGTGAGTGTTCACACCAGCGGAAATAAACTTATTTAATTTTTTGTTGTTTTTTCTCGGAATTTTGCATTTTTATCTGGGTCATTTTATATTTCAAGGCAAAGCGATTTTTTTTTTAATTCGCTCTTCTTAATTCTCATTTCATTATTTAGCACAGTAGGTCAGCTCACGTAATGCTAAAGTTAAGAGGCAGCGGAATTCTATCTCTCACCAGCAATGTGTGTGGTTGCGCATTGACACTTAAGGCTGTTGGATTCACAGATAGATGTATTTCTTCCAGCTGTGCTTGTTGCCGCCTGTTGTGCTGTGAGCATTTTGTTGAGTATCTTCTTCCCTGCGCTGATAAAGAGATTTTGTTTGTGTGATCTTATTAATATGGGTTGAAGAAAAAAATAAATACATTTCATAAAAATGGAAGACTGGACTTGCGATATTTTGAGAACCGGTGAGTATCGAGTGGGACCCAGTGAGAGGCTGGCAAAGTTAACGAAAAAGTTGGAAGCCAATAAAGGCCCGAGAAAAAGTTGAAATTTAAGAAAATCCAAAGATAATCACATTGGAGATTCTATAAAAATTTATACATATGTATGTACATCAGCAAACACCAAATATCTTACTAAATCGTTGCTATTACACTTTCCAATCGGTGTCTCTGCCTGCGTGGCTTTGTGAACTGTTTAAATATTTGGAGGACTGTAGGGAATATGAAAGAGCCGATGAGAGTCAGTAAGAAACGTGGAGGGGTAGTAAAAAAAAACCAGGAAGGCCAAGAGGGATCCACTGAAAAGCCTTGGAAAGCCATTGAGACCTGGTGAGTGCCACTGTTATGTTCTTCAGGCTTTAAAATATACGAAATTATTAGAGATTTCCCAAAAATTTTTACTAGGCCGTTGCATACTGCCCTCTCCACTTGGCAATAGGCCGTTGTAAACAGCCTTCCATTCGGCTCACAAGTCTACGCATGAGTTTCTTTGTGAACTGTTTAGATATTTTACGCTTCAAGTGACAGAAACAGCCCCAAAGCTGGCGGCGCTTTGCTTGTGCAGCTGCCTGGAATTTCACTTAGCGCCATGATGCTTTAACTTCTGCTGCGCTGAGGCAGGTCAACAGTGACACCTACGCATACAACACACGGCCAGTGGCTATATTAGGGCTTCCTAACATGGCCAATTTGGTTGCAGATGCGGTGGCGCGCGTGTTTGCCGCAACGCCGTGACATAAATACAAACAAAGGAACTCGTAGCATATTTGGGGTTCTCGACTAAACGAGCAAGGAAGTAAGTGTGTGTGTATGTGTGTCTTTGTGCGCTCCCCTGCTATTTACACTCGATGCTACTGATGTTTACCTCCGGCGGACTCAGATATAGCTGGCAAAATGCTAGGTAAGCAATGTTTACACCTCGCCGTCACCTCGTTTGGCTTGGATATCACTCATTTCTCGGCTGCTACATGCCTCGCGTTATCTACCATCTGGGTTGCGTTGCAAGCCAGCGCTTTGCCTTCACATGTTGGTTGCGTTTGCTACTTGCAACACGTTTGTCGGTTTGCCGGTTGAGGCTGCTGTAGGTTTATTGTCTCATGACTAACGTGTTCTTGTCCCACAGGAGCATATAACAGCTGTGACCCTAACGTCCACAGTGCTTACTCACCGTTGCGCACGTCTTTAGAGCCGGCCTCTGTTGCTTTAATATCCTGTGTGGCAGCACTGTCGTGTCACTTCGGTGTTTGTTTGATCTCTCACATGCATACATACATGTGTACTACGCCATCCAAAGAGTCTATTTGACGCAGATAGTGACTTCCACCATCACCGCAAGTCAGCTGAGCTCAGCTCTGTTCTACGTGGAAGTCAGCCGACCCCTGCCGTTGACGTCCAGCCGTGCAAATGCCTACGCATGCCGCTAGCTACCAACGCTTTTCTGTTTATTTAACGAAAATTTATGTCCATTTATACTTGTGTCGGTGCGCTGTGTCGACTGTCTCTTTATTTCTGTATTCATTTGGCCACACAACGACCTAACTGTCTATTTACCTTAGCCACCAAGCGCACACATATACACCCCGTTTGGTTTTTGGGATGCGTAACAACTCTTCCCGGTTAGGCGGGCATGTCGCTGTCACTCAAACGTGTGATTACGATTGTCTGTATGCGTTTTTGCTGTCATTTCGTGAGCCCCCTCCCGCCACCGCCGCGCGTGCAAGCACTTTCAATAGCAACCGCAAAACAGTTCGCTCAGTTTGCTTATGCAAATTAGTTGCTGCGCAGTGTAATACACAATGCGCACGAACTTGCGCTTGGCCGCGTGGTGTTTGGGGTGTGGCGGGCAGGCAGCAAGCGGTTGGTCGGTTAGAGATTATCTGCTGTTTTACTGTATTTTGCGCTTAAAATGTAAATAGGTAACGTTTTTTGTGCTACCGTGTCAGCTACTGTTGCTAGTTTACGATTGCATTGCGAGTCATAGAGAATTTAAGTGCAGCAAAGCCGCAAACGTGAGTACGTGCAGCGGTTAATTACAAAAAAAAAAAAAAAAAATATCGGGGAGTAGAAAATGCGATAAGACGCGTGGATGCCAGCAACTGATTGCAATAATAAAAGAAATATAAATATATAGCTATGTAAAAAAGATAAAAGTTTATCTTCATTTGTAACGAAGCTCGAATACCCTTAACAGATTAAACATTTTTGCATATAAAAACTTGATTTTAATCGCCGGCTACGTTGGCTAGATCATGTCATCCAAATGGAGGAAAGCATTTCAGCTCTGAGAGTATTACACGCAGTACCCGCAGCACCGCCGGGGGAAGCTGAAGAAGAGGAAGACTCCACTCCGTTGGAAAGACCATGTGGAGAAGGATCTGGTTACACTTGGAATCTCTAAAGGAGCCAAACAGCGAAACGGAAGAACGACTGGCGCGCTGTTGTAAACTCGGATATTGCCGCGTAAGTGGTGTTTACGCCAACAAAAAAAAAAAAAAAAAAAAAAAAAAAAAAAAAAAAAAAAAAAAAAAAAAAAAAAAAAAAAAAAAAAAAAAAAAAAAAAACAGAAGACTTCCATCTGAACAAGTTTTTCGCAGACTAAAGCATTGCCATCAATAATAATCCTTGCCAAGTAATGTGAAGATATCTTATAAAAACTAACAATTTCTTCAGAGATGGTATTGTTGACTTGGTACATCAACCATGTTAAGTTTTGTAAAGATACCTTTTGAAATTAAAAAGTTTTCCATACAAAAACTTTATTTCGATCGTTCAGTTTCAATGGTAACTATATGCTATGCTATATGCGATTTCGGCGGTTGCGACAAATGACCAGCTTTTTTTTTTTTTTTGAAGAAAAGGGCGCTTGTGGGATGTAAGATTAATATTTCCAAAAATGAGAGACTAGCTCCCGTATATATATACATTCAGATTAATTTTGATATAAAAGGTGCAACATGCTGTCGAAGATAGGATTCATCGAGCTTGTCAGTCATCGAATCACTGTTTTGATTGTCCAGCAGCTAAACATTGCCCAAAAAACTGTT